TCAACGTGGATAAATATACTTACTTACTTACTTACTTACCGGGCACCCTTAAATGGAAAAGGAAAATAGTACTGGTCGTTATCCTGAGTGTTGCTGCGATACAAGAGACAGGAAAGGGGTATCATCACAATTGACACTTTTCTACGTTTCAAGAAAGTGATAATAAACCTCCTTTTGGTTCTCGTGGATTAGATATAGAGTCGTTCCCTCTTTTTTCACATGAGCGTACTCGGTAGCCCACCGAGCACGCTGATGTGGAAAAGAAAGGAAGGATTCTTTATCCAAGGCCGATGATATCAGAATACTAAGAATGTGGCTGCCTTCATGGTCAGACTACTTCCCAGTTCTTTTTTAGAGTCACTTATTGTTTTATTTATCGCTTATTTATTTCCATCCCCTTATCCTATTTCCCTATCACTAGATGATAAATAAACGAAGTGTCCTGTCGTCATGCAACGCAATACCTAACAGAGGTGTCCAGTAACTCTACGGTGTGCGAGGATTGAGGTAAAAAAAAAAACACAATTGAAGGTAGGAAGGTGGATTAAGCCTCCATTTGGTTTTTAGGGAATGGATGTCGAAGTGCCCTTTTACTCTGAGGTGTGCGAGGATATTGGTCAATTTAGCGCAGTGGTGTGATTAAAAATTTGCGTTTTACAGTCTTCTACTATTCAAGAAAGGTAGACTAAGCCTCAATTTTGTTCTTACGTAATATTGTCGATAGTGTAAGAACAATCCACTGAGAACGCATCAACATTTTCAATGGGTTGTTTTCCCATGATGTTCAAACTAATTTTTGTTACGCAATAACAATATAATCTGTCGGAAATGAAAGAACAATGGAAGAAATACATTGTAGGCCGATCTCTTACAATCATGGCATTACAACTTTTAACACAGAACTCTGTTGTCTCCCAACATGCGTCTGGGTCGCATTGTGTACCTGGATATACTGCCCATACTAGTGACGAGAGGTGAGAGATTTCATGGCCTAAATTTTCATTGATTACACTGGATAGCTTGAGTATGTAGCTTTGTCTGGTCAAGGAGTAAAATTCTTGGTGGGAAATAAGCTTAAATCTATTC